GGAAGGCAGGAATGGGACCAGCCGGGGGCTTCCCAGAAGCTGCAGCCCAGACACGCTGCAGAGGCTCTCCCATCACTCATTTTCTCTCCTAACTGCTCAACTAGTCAATAACTCTAAATCTTGTAGTACTGGGAAACCTTGCAGGTGAAAGGCAGCAGTGACAGCCTCAGCTGTCAGGCCAAGGACACACCTGATGATGATGATGGTAACTGGAAAGTGCCCACTTCTCCACATCCAGCTCACTGCTGCCCAAGCAAAGATCAGCTGAGATGCCCAGGCAGGGGAGATGATGAGATAAGAAATGTGCTTTATCTTCTGCCCTAAGAAGCTGACTTCTCCCATGGAACAACCAGCAAATTGACTGCAGCATCCCAAACCCTGGAGCAGACCATGCATGGGAGGAGCACAGGAGGGATGGAGCTCAGTGCTGCTCTGGACCATGACTGCCAGCCCCAGGTCCCTGCAGACCAGAGGGGCAGTGTGATCTGCAGATGCTGGCTCACAGGTGACCCCTACAGCTGGCTCCTTCCAGATGTCATCTTTCATCTCTGCAGACATCACATCTGGCAGCTTAAGTCCTCAGGGTCCATCAGGGACAGGAAAGCAGCTCTTGCTTTGTCACAGGGTCCAAAAGATTTGAGTTTCATGTCCAGCCATTGCTCCTTATACTCTTTGCAATAACTCTTGATGTACATAACTGCCTCCTCACCTCCACTGTGACCCCAAACCCGCCTGCCCTCTCCCACTGGGCAGGGGACTGAGCTGTGACTTGCAAAGCCAAGCTGGATTCCTGCGGTGGGGTCCAGAGTGTCCCGAAGGATCATGCACGCTCTGGGTGGCCCTTCAAGGAGGGAGAGGCTGGGTGACAACAGGCTTCTTGTGCTGGCTAATCCCCACGACAGATGTTTGGCTTGTGCTTGATACCTGCAGCTCAACCTCAGTGCCCTGCTTCATGCTGCATGAGAGAGCAGAGGGAAGCTGCCCTGCTTCCAGTCCCCTTCATGGGTCCAAGGTGGGACAGAAGGCAATTCTGGCATTTGCTTTCTATGGCTGGGTGCTTCCTGCAGAAGAAACCAGGATTGGGAATGGAGCCATGGCAGGGATGAGTGGAGCTGGGCTGGCAAGGATGATCAGCCATTGAGGTATACTTTGTGTGATGGTATTGAAGCATGGTGCCCACCTGGGCGGATGGTGTGTGAAAGCAGCAGCTGAGCTTGTATTGAGATGGCCAAGACCAACCCTGAGCCTGGATTTAGGGAGAACACGGGTAACTGTGCAGTGAGCACAGCCAGGCCAGGCACCTAAAGACTGGGAGTTTGGGTCAGCCCCTGCAGCTAAGCTCAGCTCTGGGCCAAGTTCTGGGGACAGTCCCTTTGCTCCACCCTTGCAACCAAAGCTCTTGCCCAAACTGGGCTCCCCAGGGTGCTGCTGAGCCCTGAGGACCAGACACTGCCAGGAACTGGAGGGTTTTGCAAGGGAGCAAAAGCTTTGGTTGGATGCCAGGAGCTGGAGTAGTACAAAAACCGAAGGGGT